GAGGGGCGGTGCTGGCTATGGGGCACTGGGGGGCGCTGGCATTGGAGCAGGGGCTTGGCGCTGGCTATGGGGCACTGGCATTGGGGCAGAGGGACGGTGCTGGCTATGGGGCACTGGGGGGCGCTGGCTATGTGGTACTGGCATTGGGGCAGAGGGGCGGTGTTGGCTATGGGGCACGGGGGGGCCCTGGCATTGGGGGTGGGGGCTCGGTGCTGGCTATGGGGGACTGGCATGGGGCAGAGGGGCGGTGCTGGCTGAGGGGCACTGGCCTGGGGTGGAGCTGGCTATAGGGCACCAGGGAGCACAGTGGCATTGTTCATTGGCTCTGGCTACCTGGCCCTGCCCCCTGCCCCCTCACTCCTTCTTTCCCGGCAGGTATTTGTCAGCAAGGACGTGGCGAAGGACTTTGGTTTCCACTCGGCTCCCGAGGCCGTGAAGGGGCTTCACACCCGTGTGAGACCAGGGTAGGCCTGGGCCACGTGGGGCCAAACTGGGAGGATGAACCTGGCATGGGGGGCCAGGGACTCACTCACTGCCCTGGGCAGAGCGACGTGGCAGCAGGCAGCCTCCAGGCCCTCTTTAGCCCACGCTGGCTGATGCGGGGGGAGCAGGACCCCTCTGCTCCCCCCAGAGGAGGGGGCAGGGCCCAGAGCTGGCGCTGGAGGGTAACAGCTGCTTGGTGGCTGCTGTGAAATGGGTTGGTGGGTTCAGAGCAGTTCCTGTGGGGGGAGCTGGCCCCAAGGGGCAGACGGTGCTCAAGGCTGGCTGCGGGGTCACGCTGAGGGGCTGTCTCCCCAGGGCCACTGTGATCTGCGCCTGGGCCGAGGCAGGGGCTGACGCGCTGGGGCCTGACGGGGAGCTCGTCCACTCAGACGCCTTCCCCCCAGAGACCATCGTGGACACGCTGGGCGCTGGAGACACTTTCAATGCCGCTGTTCTCTTGGCCCTGTCGAGAGGTGAGAGTCGGTGCACTGGGGGGCACACTGGGGGGCCGGGGCAGGCTCGGGCTGACAGGCGGCTTGTTCTCCCATGGCAGGGCAGAGGCTGCAGGAGGCGCTGGCCTTTGGGTGCCAGGTGGCTGGCAGGAAGTGCGGGGTCCATGGGTACGACGGCATCGTGTGAACAGAGCGCCGCCCGCTGGAGGAGACGCCCCCTTTGCACCAGGAGGCTGCAGCTGGTGCTGACTTGCTGGGATTTCCTGGGGCGCAAGGGCTGAGCTGTTGGTGCTGCCCGCTGGGTGCCACGGTGCCTGCTGCCCGGGCACTGTACCAGGCCCTGCGGGTCCCCTCCCTGTCCAGTGTAGTCAATAAACGCTTGGGAACAGCTGCAGCGCTCGCTTTTCTCAGCGCAGTTGCAGTCCGGCCGGCAGGCGAGCTCTGGCTATGGGGCATTGGGGGCACTGGAATTGGGGCGGGGGCTCGGTGCTCCCGAGCTGGGCAGATGCATGGCAGCGTGTGAGCTGTGGGGGAAGCACCCGCCCAGGGCATAGGCAGCCAGAGCCGGAACACAGCCGCTCCTGGGGACAGCAGCCCCTGCTGCCTGGGGTTGGCACTGGGGCTCCTGGAGCCTGTGGCCCTGACCTAGACCGTGCAGCAGGGGCTCCCTATGGCTCCCCGCCTTAGAGGAAGCGCAGCTGGGGGGGAGCTTCAAGGGGGACCCTGCCAAGAGCTGCCTCTCTGCAGAACAGGCTCCTGGAGCCCCTGGCAAGTAGGGTGAGGGGCTGGGGGCCGTCTCAAGGAGGTGGGTGCCTCCGCTCTGCCCTCTGGGCTCCACAGTGCGATGGGCTCCCAGGCCCCAGCCGCCACTCTGACTGGTGGGGGGGGGGGGGGTGCGTGTCCAGCTGTAGGTCCAAGTGCTCCAGGGCCTGGCTCCCAGGGAGCTCTCCTCAGCATGACGCCTCCCAGCCCAGGGGCAGGCAGGGCCAAGTCTGGCCTGAGGGGAACGGGAGGTGGCCACGGAAGCAGAGGGACTGGCCTGGGGCCACGGGGCAAGGAGAGCTCTGGAAGGCCCCCTGGCTGGGCTCACCCATGAGGCAGCGTCCGAGCTGGCCGCATGGGCCTGGCCTCCTGCCCACCTCATGGCAGCCGGCCTTAGTGGGGGGGCTGGACGGTGGCTGGGGGGTGCACGGGGGGCTGTGGTGCCCGTCTCAGGGGCAGGGCAAAGCTCCTGAACCAGTCACTGAAGGGGGGCAGGGCTTAAACCCCGGTACAGCTGATGGAAGCACCCCCCCTTCTCCCGCCCTCCAGCGCGGGGCCGCTGGAGGCAGAGGGCTTGTGCCAGGCCCTGCTGCCAGAGTGGTAGTGATGGCGAGGGCATGGCCCAGGCGGCTGAGGGACAGGCACTCAGCCAGTGCCCAGAGCAGGGACACCTGTCGGCCCACGCAGCTGCTGCCTGCTCAGGGTGGGGCACGGGGGCGATTTCGCAGGATGGGCAGGAGGCACCCTCGGCTGGGTGAGCCCTGCTGGCCAGGCAAACTCCTTTCCCTCTTCCCCCCACCCCCACGGCTCCGGGGGGCAGCGCAGTGCAGCCAGCGAGGGGGCCACCAGCTCAGTGTATATTTTTCTATTTCAAAATGTAAGTTACATGATGGATTGCACATGTCCCGGTGCCCCCCCAGCCCCCTCGGTCCAGCCAGACAGCTTCTGGCAGGGACAGGTCAGAGCTGGCGAGGGTAACCCTGCTTTGATGCTGTGCCTGCAGCGCCTGGGGCGGCCCCTGGGCCCCCCAGCCCAGGGAGGGGTCAGGTACCTGCCTCTCCACAGCCCCTTGTCCCGAGGGGCGTCTCACACGCTCCTCACAGGAATCGCCCCCCACAGGATGGGCTCGGCAGGGGCTGAGCCCAGCTGCTTTCCCCAGGGCTGGGGAGGGAGGCAGCCCCCTGCTCCCCCTCCCCTCCCCTCCCCTCCCCGGCACCACTCAGCCAGATCCAGAGTGTGTGTGGGGGGGGGGTCCCTGGCAGATGTTTCCCCACCACCACCTCGGTTTCTCTGTGCACAGCAGCCCCCCCACCTGCAGCCCCCGTGCCAGCTCTGATCTGCCCTGGCCATGCCCTGAGCTCTCCATGGATCTAGGCGGGGCCTAGATCTCAGCATTGGGGGCCCCAGCAGCCTCCTCTTCAGGCTGAGCCGCCTCTGGCCCCGTCCGGCTCAGCAAGAGGCCCTCAGCCTCTGGCTGCTCTGCTAAGGGCCCCGCTGCCTCTGGGAGCTCCACGCCGGGGCCTGCTGCCCCCTGGGCGCCTGGCAGCTCCAGGGCCACGGCACGTTGCTCTGGCTCCTCAGGTGCCCACTGCACAACCCCTTCTCCGTCGGGGGCGTCAGTCGGGGGAGGCTGGCCCTGGGCTGGGGGCAGCAGGAGCTCCGAGGGGTTCAGTAACCCGTCCCCGTTCAGGTCTTGAGTCTCCAGGATCCCATCTATCACCATGATCACCTGCCGGGGGAATGGGTACAGGGCAGGAGAGAAGAGATGGGACAGTCGCACAGCACTGGCAGGGAGCAGACTGCGGGGCGGGAACTGGCTGGCCCAGGGGTGGGGCAGGGGGATGGGGCCTGTTCCCTGTAGGGGGCGCCAGCTCCCACCTGGCCAGGGGTGGGGAATGGGACATGGGGCCTGTCTCCTGTAGGGGGCGCTGGCTCCCATCCGGCCCCAGGGC